ATGATGTCTTAATCTGCCACATTCAAATGAAAGTGATGGTTTTGCTGACTACTAGAGCAAGGGAAATGTATCACGAAAATAGGTTAAATCAAAATAAAATGGTAAGATTGCTCCAGTTAGATTAGACTTCATGGGATCAGACTACTAAAACAACCACTCCACCTATAGGATTAAGGCAACATCTATTACACCCTTAATATCTCTTATTAACAGGAATGTTGTACACCAAATTGCTCCATTCTACAAGGAAGAACAGTAACAGCTACAAACAACCGATGTTATGCTTCTCTTAGATTAATATTTGTGTGACGAGATTTTTAGTATACAGCTGTTCATGAAAGGACAAGCAGAGAAGAAATGACCATGGTACTGTGCAATGTTCCTCTATGCGACAAAACATTATAAATCTATCCTGAAAATTTAGATTATATGCTCCATTTAGAGGATCATTTGTTGTAGTCCAAAATCTGATATATTGATATTATTTATAACATAACCTCCAAATTTATAGGGAGTTAGCAAAGGGCCTTTGGCTCAGCAGTATCTAGTAACCCAACCTTCTTAGAAGTCATGGGTTCAAGGCTCACCAAAAGTGAGGAGCGTGTGTGTGTTCAATTTGCCATACATAAATCTTATATACTTCAAAAGAAAAAGAAAAAAAAATTATGCATAGTTAATTTCTTCACCTTTGACCATTTGCTGTCAAAAGTTACCTCAAACTTCCACCTGATACAATAGATAGACCTATGATGAGATCAGATCACTCCAAAATGCTAAAAAGGTATCAGATAGCGTTATTTGACTCATCCAACATAATGCTTTTACTTTTATGCACGTGGGTGGTTTTTCACTTCTAAACTTGGTTGAATCATTACTCAAGTCTTCCATTAGGAAGGAATGTTTGAATTGTATGCCTTTATCTTTTTCTGTAGCTAACTTTATCCTTTATGACTTTGCTTGGTGAAAGTTTGACACAAACACCAATGAACAATATCTGTTTGCATCTCTCTTTCTAGAAGGCATTCCTTCACTATATTCCTCTCTTGTATTGTTTAACCAAACTAGCTTAAAGGCACTGGTGATTATTTATGCAATGACCTATTAATTATAATATTTCAAAAAAGTAAAAGTTGGTTTCATTAAAAAATAAGGTAAATACTGATAGATAATTGATTATACACAATTTTTCAGTGAAGACAAATTCTATGCAACTTCATACTCTACTATTAGTGTATTTCCATCAACATTCAAACTAAAAGGAAGCAGAGTATGCTTATATACTCTATAGCATCACGGGTAACACTCTAATGACGCTTAGATCTCATAGCTCCAACTCCTTCCAAGTTAACCTGAAAGGCTGAAACACAATGAATACAGAGGGTTGGTGAGAATGTAAGAATAAATTATTCATATGTGAATCATTGGTAAACCCCAAAAAAGTTCCATTTGAAGATACATATGTGAACCCACGTTTCCTTCTACCAATGATTCACATATGAATCATTTATTCGTACATTCTCAAACTTTTTGCCTTTCTTATTTGAACCTTCCTGTATATATATAAAAGGTTGGTTAAGGTAGGAATTCCAAATTTCATAAGAACAGCCCGTGTGTCATTGATCTTGAAGCCAAAGGGATCGATTTGTGGTTGCTCGCACAAGCTGCATCCTCTCAGTGAGAGCAGATCGGTCATTTGGTTTCTGCATCAAGGCTGGTAGGGACCGATTACGTTAACATATGCCAACACTTTCTGGGTAATGTGTGGTGATATATGTTAATTTATGTTAAGGTATATTCAATGTTTTTCAAGTTAAAGTTTGTTAAGGCGTGTTAATGTTCACTGTTTTTCACATTAAGGTGTGTTTATGTTCATTGTTTACAATGTTCAGGCGTGTTAAGATTGCATATAAGAGGTGTTTTAAGGTTTTTATGTTATGACATGTTAAGATTGTGGGGTATGTTAAGCTACACTCATGTATGTTCAGATTTGTTGATGTCAGTTAACGTATGTTAAAGTCGAATATTTTCATGGTAACTTATGTGAATGTTGGCATGTTAAAGTATTTTGAAGTTTCAAGGGTGTTAAGATATGTTAACCTCCGTGTCCACCTACCACATCGCCTTCGAAGTTCCACATGATTACGATAATGCCACGACGTCTTTTAGGAGCGTTCAATCAGGGCACAGGTTTTTCCTAGGGCAACCAAGGGGGTCCTACGGTTCACGCCAAAAACAAATTCCTACATGATCCGCATTATATATACATGGAGGTTCAAGCGAGAACAAGATTGAAATAAGAAAATTCAAGAACACCTATAACACGTGATTTTTACGTTAGAATCACATGTTATTGTGTGCAACCTTAGTTGCAGGCCAAGTTGCTAGAACATCCTTGCGTTGACCGTGTTCCATAATCACATGTGATATAATTGTTCTCGTGTTTTCTTATTTTGACCATGTTCTTGTTTAAACCCAACCCTATATATAGGGGACCTTCTTTTGAGAACTTCCTAATTTGTGAGATCCGTGAAATCTGATGACACATACTAAGGACTTGTTTGGTAAAGCAACTTATTGTTCTTTTATTCCAGCCAACGAAGCTCCGTCTAATCTAGGCCACAACCGTGCCTGAGATATTAGTGGTGAATACTCATGTATACTAGCCATCTCACAGGTTCTCATTAAAGAAAGAAGTAGCATGGAAAGGAGGTGCGCTGGAAGTGGAAAGATTTTTTATTTCAGAATTTCGCCACGAGACACCTTTCGTAGTAAGAGAAGCCCTTTGCTTTTTGGTTGACAAGCTATTCTTGAATATGGAATAAAAAGAGGAGTAATGCTTCCTAGCACAGGTCCCTCTTCTTGTACCTCGGAATCCACAAGTACCGGTGGAGGCCCAATAAACCACCCGATTGGTTAAAAAATGAAATCTAATATAATTGGAAAATCAACTTTAATTGAATAATAGGGGAAAATTGGGCTCTCTCCTTTCATCATAACATACACATACACACATAACATTGAATATGCACACAAGATTGTGAACACTTTCGTAGGATTACTGTTATACTTTTTGAACACCATATGAATCTGTAGGATATGGTATAGCTTGTGAACACCAACTAAACCAACAAAACTAAACCAAAATCTACCACTTGTGAACACGGTGAACCATGTTAACACCCCAGCAAGGATCTTAAGGTTGTTTAAGTGGTGTTCACAATGTGCTCATCTTGTGTTCACATTTGATCATGTGTTTGCATGTGTATGTCAGAGGAAGGGAGAGAGAGAGATGTGTTCAATTTGACTTCCCTAAGAAAACGCTTTAATGCCGAATCCTTAAATTACCCTTTATGTTTATTTAATAAATAACATTAATTATCTCAAATTAGTAGCTTAAGATGGACCTCATGAACCCATCAAATTTTGGAGTTCTCAAATGATTAACCGTGTACATGTTACAAACCATGCAAACTAATCTTAATTGTCCATCTACCCCGGTGAATATTTGGTTTTATAATATTTCTCTATTGTTCCCAAAACTAAAACAATGACCATGACAAATGAACTTTTTTATAACAAATGAACTTTTTTATCTTCCATACATATCTTGGTCATAATTGTATTGTAATATTCATATAATAGGGCTAAGGGCTAAAGGCATATGGGCTTTTATTGTAAATGTCACCTATAAATAGGCGACATGGGCTAGAATTTAGAAGTTGTTTGTTCTTGTATTCCATTCACATGAGAGTTGTATAGTGATTGAGAGAGATTTTTGTATTTCCCGTTTTCAATGAATAAGAAAAGTTGGCCGGTTCTTCATGTTATTGCTCATCTTCTTCATCTCTCAATCTATTTTATGGTTTTATCTTGAGTTGTTAGATCTGGGATTAACATAATGAATCAACCATGATCATGTTCCATAAATATCTTTGATTATTTCCAGATATAAGGTTTGTATGGTTTGTATTTGAAACCTTTTAAATATATATGTATGTATGTATGTATGTATGTATGTATGTATGTATGTATGTATGTATGTATGTATGTATGTATGTATGTATGTATGTATGTATATGTATGTATGTATGTATGTATATATATATGTATGTATGTGTGTATATGTATATATATGGTGGGAGGTCAAAATAAGAAAGCTAAATACCCTGAAAAGGTAAGAAAAGAATGTTCATATATGAATTGTTGAAAACATACATTTGAAAATGCAGATGTGAAGTCGGTTTCACATATGCATCTTCAAATAGATTTTCTCATCAATTCACATATAATTCTTTTCTTAACCTTTTCCTTCTTACCTCCTTATGACATTTATATAAAATACACACACACATGTGTGTGTGTGTTAAAAGTCCTTTACCAATTATCTTTGTCCCATTTTTTACAAAAACAGATTGACCTTAAAATCGCTTCTCTTAAGTTACCAAAAAAACTCGTTCCAAAGTTAGTTAGGGGCTATCTAGAGTTGTTCTGCTTCTTATTGATAAGTTGTTATCCCACATGGGGTTGTTTACTCCAGAAGACGGATCTAGCATTGGGCTTCAGGCATGGACCTCCTTTAGCTTTCTTGACTTTGGACTTCAAATATCCCGTTTACTCCTTCTTAGGTACATCCTACCCTGACAAACTCCACTAAAATAACCAAAATGATGCCATAGAAAAAGGCATACTAATATTATTATTAGTATAAGTAATTAATCGTTAATAAAGAGAGTTGATGTAAAGAAAAGATGAACCACCAACAGAAGATTCGGATTTGGAGTATGTAAACCAATGATGACCGATGTTACAATAAGTCATTAAAGATGGTTACAGCTAAAACAAAAGTTGAAATAAAACTAAAATATAAAAGATGAACAAACAAACGTGTGGTTGGTAAGCAAAGATTCTATGATATTCATGTCCATATGTACAAGTCTACAAACGTGTGCTGTACATTTATTGGTTTCAACAAAACTAAAGTTAGCCATACATAATACATGCCCCAATAAATGCTCCCTCCAGCCGAAATTATATATTAGTTGTTACATAGTAAAATTAGGCACCTCAATCTCAATAGCATCGTAATGATGATTATGCACAAAAGGTGTAACTTTTATTTAAAAATATTACAATTTCCATATGTAATCAAATAACAGTAATAAGAACTGAAAGCAAAATAATCCAAATAATAAAAAAGGGAAATCATGTACAGTACCTTAAAGTAAAATGTTTGCTTGGGTGGCATTTTAACAAACAGGTTGTAGGCAACGACAAAAGGCATCATGTTTACAACACCCGGACTCTACTCATGAGCCCACGTTTCAAGACTACGATGACCCAGTAGAATAAAGCATCAACAGATGAGAAAAAGCTCACCCCCAACTAGTATGGAGGAAGAACAGGCTCTTCAGAAACGAAAATTTTATTGGGGAAATACACCAGATGAATCAGAATACTACGAACTCCATAACATCAATTCAACAAACGCCTTGTTCACATCACCAAGAGGCTTATCTCTTTTCACCAGATCATGGCTTCCCCTAACTTCACCACGTGGCATCATCTGTATGGTCCACGGCTACGGCAACGATATCAGCTGGACCTTCCAGGCCACGGCGATCTTCCTCGCCGCCAGCGGGTATGCCTGCTTCGCTGTTGACATGGAAGGCCACGGCCGATCTGAAGGACTCAAGGCCTTCGTCCCCAACGTCGACTACGTCGTTGAAGATTACTTGGCGTTCTTCGACTCGATAATTACTTCAGCCGACCCCAATTACCAAAACCTCCCTAAATTCTTATTCGGTGAATCCATGGGCGGCGCAATCTGCCTTTTAATCGAATGCAAGAGACCTAATTTCTTCGATGGCGCAATCCTGATCGCTCCGATGTGTAAGATCTCCGATAAAGTAAGACCCAGTTGGCCAATTCCTGAGATTTTAATGTTTGTATCGAAGTTTGCCCCAACTCTGGCCATCGTACCGACAGCTGATTTAGTTGATAAATCTGTTAAAGTTCCGGAAAAGAGAATCATCGGTGGAATGAATCCGATGAGATACACAGGGAAACCGAGATTGGGGACAGTCACGGAACTCTTACGAGTGACGGATTATTTGAGTAGGCGATTAAGCGATGTGAACATTCCCTTCATTGTGCTACACGGAAATGCTGATGCTGTTACTGATCCTGCAGTGAGTGAAGAACTGTACGAAAAGGCAAAGAGTAAGGACAAGAGTTTGAAGATTTACGATGGGATGATGCATTCATTGTTGTTCGGCGAAACCGACGAAAATGTGAAGATTGTTCGTGGTGATATACTGTCGTGGCTGAATGATCGATCTTGAAGATGAAAGAAACTTGATTTGATTGTTGTCTTGTTTCATCAAATTATTCATCATTAAATGTGTATTGAAAATCTGTTTGTCCACCAACTGTTTGATAAAATTACCCACTGAAACTGGGTTTGTTGTACCATATTTGAACGTTGGAAATCGATGATCATCGATGTTTGGCCATTGTTTTTCATTGCATGAAATCTCTCGTATATCATATATCATATCTAAAAAAACATTTTTTTTACAATATACATAAAACCGAAATGTGATAAGACTGAAAATTTATCTATGTTTCAATGCTTGCGAAACAAAATTCCCACAAAGCGATGCTTAGAACATGCATCTTATGTTAATGAATCAAACATGTATAATTGGATATTCACATTATGTTTCAATCTTTTTGAAGGCTCTGTTGCATCATTAATTTTTGACGGCATTACATAAAAGATAACATCATACATATATGTTAAGCACAAAATGACGCTAATCCTAAACGATCAACAATCTGAACCTAACCTAAATCTAAATCATTAATAATTTGTATCTAAACCTAAATAATTAACAATTTGAATCTACACTGGTTGATGAAAATGCCCTAAACATATATAAAATTGGGCCCTAAAATTTTGAAGATCCTGATCAAAATCTTACATTTAACATGCTAAAGGACGGCTTTGGATCTTCATACTGCATCACCTAAATGTGATCTGCATAGTACTAATACATAAATAAATAATATCACATACCAAATTGATCTGAAACATTACGTTCTATAAGACAATAATTAATTTGATAACTGTTATCAAATTAATCTCTTGCTAAAGTTCTTTTGACATATATATATATATATAGAGAGAGAGAGAGGACTCATTCAACGGATAACTAACTAGTTTGTGGTAACCATGAGATTCAATCTCAAGCACAAATCAATAGTTAAATTATAAAATTTATAATTTTGGTAATTTTGAATTAAAATTTTAATGCAAGGACATTTTAAATATTTTTTCTCCTCTCTTCTCACTCCGTCCTCCAGCCATCATCCTCCGGTAATACCACTGTGATACCTAAAAATATTGACTCTATTAAACAAAAGACACAGTGTAATATTCAAGCACATATAAGATGCATTGTGATACCACTGTGTAACATCTTTGATCGACCACACAAACGACTTCAGTGTGATACCCAAGCACATATAAGATGCATTGTGATCACTGTGGTATCACCGAAGAACGGTGACCGGAGGCCAAAGGACGGGGTACGGGCGACGAAGTGAGGAGAGAGAGGAGAGATGAGAGTTTTAAAATACCTAAAATGTTCTTGTATTAAAATTTTAATTCAAAATTACCAAATTAATTAATTCTCATTTGATTAGGTCCATATATATATATATATATGCTATATTTCAAATGCAACCATGTCTATTTGTACAAACAATGCAATCCAATCAATTGAGATATTTATGAAAATGATGAGAGTTCATTTATTATGATTTGAATATTTATGGAAGATAACTAGAATTCATTAATTATGATTAATACTTTATATTTGAAAACAATCAAAAAATTTATGAAATCACATATTCATCAAATTAAATGAACGGTTGAGATTGAGTTGTATTAGTTGTACAAATATAAAAGGTTGCATAATAACTCACCTACATATATATATATATATATATATACATATATATATATATATATATACTACAAGGGTACTCATACAATGTAGCGAGATACATATGGATTTTAATGTTTTGTTTTATTTCTTTTTTTTATCTCAGTCGATATCATAATATGGTTTATCTTGTTTTGAGAAAATGATAATGTATTTATTTTTGAATAAAATATAAATTCGAAGGAATCATGAAAAAAATTGAAAAAATTGATATTAGTACCAAACTAACTATTTAAAATTTCTCATTWTTTTGTGTATTTATTTAATTCATTTTTTTTAATTTTTGGTTTAATAATATAATTTTTTTAAAGATAATATCAAATATTTTGTTAGAAGTAAATGATATCCTAATTATATTTTAGATTTTTTAGATTTAAAATGATATATTTATCCTTTATTCGATTATGTTAATCTGCAGTTAATTATACGAATTCAAACATAAAACTTTAATAAGTTGTACTTACACATTGTTGATCCCAGATCTCTCAATAACACTTATAATCTAGTTATGAATAACCAAATTATAATGATTTTATGAAGAAAGTTAAGAAGACTCAAAATTAATATATGAATATTAAAGAGCAATTTGAGCTTCAAAGGTTTTACTTTATTGATAATAAAACGTAAAACACTAAGAGGACTTTTCACGTATGCACGCATTTTACAATAGACCTAGTCGTCTATTTATACTAGTTAGCTAATGCTAAGATAACTAACTATTACTACTTTCTAGCAAATATTCTAGCTAATAGATAATGTTTATCTTTTACATAGATAATCATTGTTTACAAGATAAACTATAATTTCAGCTGTTGATTTGTCATCTCCAACTGTCATTATTGATGTGGCGCTTTCATCCTTATCTTTAAGTCTTCGATATATGCATGGATGAATACTTAGAAAACCTTCTAAGTGTTAGTCTGTCCATYGCATCAATGAATACACTTTCCATCGCATCATCCATCGATCCGCTGGTTGTACTTGGTCCATCAGTTCGATAGTTGGTCTTTCCATCGATGCTCTGGTTAGTCTTTCCATCGATCCAGACTTAGTCTTTTCTGCCTTGATCTCTTCATCGGTCTTTTGGTTCTTCATCACTTATTGTTTTTCATTACTTTTTACATTTTGCATTATGGGGTTTAACACACATAATTTATAAATAGGAAGTGCAAAACTTGAATGGTTTAAAATTTGAACCCGAAATTGAACCGAAATTAAGGTGTATATGTAAAACCTAAATGCCCTGAATTCAAAAACCCGAAAATCGACTTTTGGAGGAAAATTTGGATTCGGGTTGGGTTTGATTTTTGGCCATCTGGTCCATCCAAAAACCCAAAATCTATATATATATATATATATATACATATATATTTTTAAATATGATACAAATATATATATATATATATATCTAATTATCTTTTGAAATTTTTTAAAAGTCCTAGTCGGTTGTGCTCTCTTATTATTATTCATTTAAATCGATTGAACTCATCCTCAAAATCAGTTGAATATATATAAGGGGCATTCAAGGGAGAACTTGTTAGTTTGTGATAACTGTGAGATCAAATCTCAATCACAAATCAATGGTTAAATTAGAAAACTAATAATTTTGGTAATTTTAATTAAAGGGCATTTTAGGTATTTTAAAAATATTATCTCTCATCTCTCTCTCTCCCCCCTACCTTCGGCCTCCGGTAAACCTTATTCCAACACCTAATAAGACAAGATACTCAATGTGATACCTAAAATATACCAAGTAAATTTTGAGACTGTAAAAAAATACATACAAATGATCCACGTTGTGATACCCAAAATACATACAAGATGTATTGTGATACCCAAAATAGTATCAATTGTGGTACCACTATGATACCAACTGTGGTACCACTGTCGTACCAAACCTTAACACACAAAACCTTATATTTCTAACCAATGATTTTACCGGAAGGAAACGATTCAGGCTTTCACTATCGGAAATTTTCTTTGATGTAGTACTAGGATTTATAGATCTGGATTTTCCGAAAACTTTCTTTGATGCAGATCTTTGGTATCTGGTTGTTTTCATCTCCACCATGTAAATTTTCCAGATCTGGATTTTTTGATCTGGGTACAATGCAGATCTGAGTTTAAAGTCATGGTTGATCGAGTTTTATGGGAATCAATGCTTTAGGAAGGGCATATGATGAACAGTGAAGAAAAGTAGTGATGGTTGGAGTTGAGGGAGAAGGAAGGGCTCGGAGAACATGGTGGCAATGATGTTAAAACGGTAAAGGATGACGTCGGATATTAAAACCTAATGTAAGTGAAGGATGTAAAAAAGGTGTCATATAAGCTTGGAGGAAAAGTTAAATAATTTTCATTTAGGTTTAGTGGTCAGATTAAATGGACGGTGGGTGCAACCACGTGGTTGGTCAAAATAAATGGAAATTTGCATACGATGAGAGAAGGGGGTGATGTTTTAGGGATATTGATACAATTTATAGAAAATTTAATGAGTTGTCAATTTTTTAAAATTATTAATACACCCTTTTTATTAATTAAGGTAATACAATTAATATAATAAAATGATTGGCTCATATTGAACCTTACAGTTACCACAAACTAATTAGTTCTCATTTGATTAGGCCCATATATATATATATATATATATATATAATTAACCTAAACCGAAAACCGACCCAAATAGATGGGTACCAAAAGCATTTTTAAATTGTTCCATTGTGCAGGAAGTCAAAGGTATATGGTATCTAGATAGTGGATGCTCAAGGCACATTACCGGAGACAAATCCCTGCTCATTGACTACAAGGAAGAAATAGGACTTTCTGTGACCTTTGGAGGTAATGGAAAAGGATATACCAGAGGTTTTGATATATTAACCAATGGTGCAACCACATTTAAATGTGTTGCATACGTTGAAGGACTGAATCATAACCTACTCAGCATCAGTCAGCTGTGTGACAAAGACTACACGGTGAAATTCTTCAAGAATTCATGCTATGTCTATGACAAAGATGATAAGGTTGCTTTGACCGGTTCTCGTCTAGAGAATGTCTATATCATCAATATGGATTCTTCTATCACTGAGAATAGTTGTTTCTTCTCAAAAGCCTCGTTAGACATCAACTGCCTGTCGCACAAACGGCTTACTCATCTTAACTTCAAGACACTCAGCGAGTTGTCTAGAAATGATTTTGTTACTGGTCTTCCTCAACACTCCTTTGCAAAGGAATCTCTTTGCTCAGCGTGTGAGAAAGGAAAACACACAAGAGCTAGCTTTAATTCAAAGCAAATCTCTTCAGTGACATCACCTCTTCAACTACTACACATGGATCTATTTGGTCCTGTTAATGTGCAATCTATCACTGAAAAGATGGGTCTTCTTTCTCAGATCCAAAAGTGAAGCACCTGAAGACATCATATCGTTCATCAAGAAAATAGTAGTGCTTAATAACATTAAAGTACGATCTATTAGAAGTGACCATGGTACTGAATTAAAAAATGGTA